TTATAAGATACCTTATCTTGTTATGTGTGCTACTGCAAAACAGTGTCTCTCTCCCTTGAAAGTGTATATACATACATATTTCCATAAGCTATCATAAAAAGAAACAAAAATGATACTGTTTTCTTTTGTTTACACAGAATTTATGGAAACCAGCAAGGGGACACACTGGGTGGGTCAGTGACCCTGGAGAAAACAGCTTGCATTAATATGGCCTAATCCAGTGTAATTAGTCAAATTACAGCACGCCAAGCAGCTTGTGAGGGGCTGTTGGCTTTGGCAGGCATACAATATGGCCCGGAGTCCCACCGGACAACAGAGAGTCCTCCAAATCTCTGCAAAGAGACCTCAATGCACTTCTACCCCTTTCGGTCTACCTTCCCATTCTAGTCTATCTTTTTTTCAAACATAAATGGGAAGGGAGCTTTCAGTCATGCTATAATGTTTTCACCTTCCCTTGTGTTGTCTCCCTTACCCCCGGGCTGCCAGCTTGGCTTCTTGTCTGCCTGTTAAGGTGGATCAAGATGATAGGAGGATTCATCATAGGGGCTACAGAAAGTCAGAGTAATTATATCAGCTCTGCACTCCTCCTACGTGATTTTATGTGCGAGTCGGATGCATGCTAACTAGTGCTGCTGAGAACCAGACACAGCTAAGACACTTCCTCATGTGGCAGGATTAGCATTGGCAAAAAGATTTAAACTATATAATTACATGAGGATAACGTACAAATTATGTAGTGCACTCAACACCCAGATTATCATCCGGTGCAAGGTCTGTTCAGCCCCAAGGGGTGAGGCTCCACGACAAAAGACCCTCATTAGCATAAATTTGCAAGACTACTCTTTCAGAAAAGATGATAAGAACCTGTTCCACCTTTCCTTTGGCTCTGAATGGCTTGTTGTGCTTTGGGCAATGACAGATAAGTCAGGGTAATTCCACTTTATGCCTCAAAAAAGGATGCTCCAGATTCTGGCTGCATCTCGAAGGTGTCACCCACGATAATCCTCAAACAGCGTCCAGCCGAATGGGGACTGTGTGTTTTCTAGATGATATACTGCAAATGACAGAAAGAATTATATGAAGGCGGGTGAATATGTAACATATTATTAAGCAATTCCCTCTGAATAAGAGGGATAAAAGGATAATGGATGAGTGTGTCATCATTACCTCGGTTCCAAGGGAAGTGCCAATGCAAAGGTAGAGAGACAAGATTAATTGAAGACGAGTGAGGCGCTCGTTGCTCATCAGGCCTTCTCATCTAGCCACTTACTCTTTCCGTCTTTCTCCTCCTTCGTCAGCCTCTCCATCCTTGTCTCATTCTTTCACTTCTCCGTGTCTCCCTGAACCCCCATTGGTCCTCCACATGACCAAAAAAAGAAAGAAAATGGTGGGATTTAAAGTGATCAGCTTGTCAGTTTTAGCAGCAGCCTGAGGAAGCTGGTGCCCAAGGCAGGAAGATTCCAGTCATCTTAAGGCTGAAGACTCTCTGACAGCATCCCATTAGGAAAGGCTTGCTGAAAACACCCAACACTAAATAACAACATCCCTTCTCTCAAGCTCCTTAGTGAAAGTTTCCCAAAGCCACTTATCTGGATGTTGTGCTGACAATGTTGTAGGTCGTGTGTGAGTTTGGGGATGTGGGCATGGGTTGGTCCAGGCTTGACTATACTCAAAATTCATTTGACTGTTAGATTAATTCATTTGTCTGCTCACTGAATACAGAAGGTTGTTTAGAAGATTGAGACAAGATATTCAAAAGAGAAGTATTTATTTACATTTATTTAACCAAACAAACAACAAAGAACACTTTACGGAGCCCCAAGGAGGCCAGAATAAGCTTCATTATCTTGGCTATTAAGTTCACATTTTTAAAAATATTTTAATATGGTCATTTCGGTATATTTTTAAATAACGTTTGCATATTTTTTTGTAGTTCTATCCTGTCGACCTCAATTAGATTCTGAAGTAATAGCAAAAGTATCCCTTCAAAGATTTTCTTAGATTTGAATGAAACCACTTCTAACTTTTTCTAACAAATAAATTGGCAACGTTATGCATCATCACCAATATCATCATTAAAATCAGAAAAAGTACCAAAATTCAAAGCAGATATCCTCCTAACATCCAATGTAGGTTTAAAATATGATTAAAACGTATGTTTTTATAGAAGAAAATATGAGAATACGGCAAAAATTGCAATTAGTTGCACAGAAATTATTGTAAATATTTTTATTCAAATAATATGTAATCTCTTGGATGCCTTCTGTGTGCGTCATAAGGTTAATGACAGACTTTCATTGGAGCCTCACATCAGAATGGGTAATACTAACTATACTAACTATGATCCAATAATCAAACAGCAGCTTTAACGGAAGCATTATGAATTGAATAAAGCATCTACTTAACAATGGTACGATTAACATTTCCAAAGCTAAAAAAAAAATACACATACCTGCATATTCATTTACAAATTTAGATATGTATCATTTTTCAATTTCAAGTTGCAAAACTAACATTTTGCATTAAAACCTGGTGGTAGTGCTACATCTGGAGAGTCACAAACCAAAAATTATTCTAAATTATTCAGCAGATTTTTAATTTCAGACTTAGCTGTCAGCCTTGGTTGGTTAGCTTCAGCAAAATTCTTATATCTAAAAAATGTTTGGGCTGGTTAGATCCTTATTTAAAAAAAAAAGATATATATGGTGGCCAATGGCACACAACAATCTGTGAGAAACGTTCCGATTTTCACAACCGCTGCCGTTGTGTGGAATGTGAGCAAACTACCGGTTATATTTTAGTGAGGTTGGGCAAAGACTTTGCGTCACTGGAGTGTGGAACAGCAAGTCTAAGTTGTCATAAGGAGTCTTTATCTATTTCATTGCCCGTCCTGGGGCTTTATAGAGCATTTTAACATAGACAGAGCCCTTACTCCATAGGAGATTGCACACTCAGAAGACGACTCCTCCCACCTGTCCTACCATGGCAATGTTGAAGACAGCGCTGCGGAGCTTCCTAATGTGCGTGAAATGCTATCCCTGACATAAACGTTATTGACAAACCTGGCTGGACATTTGGGGCAGTGATCTGCCAGCATTTTTAATGCATATTCATCTCCTTTATCCCACTGGTCTTGCAAGAGCTCTCGAGCTGTGTCATCTTGCCACACTCCAGCTACCACCCAAATGTATAGTGACACTGATTATGCAAATCTGTATCTTGTTTTCCTCCAATACCTGCACTAGGAGCCTGCTACATTATTGAAGCTGAGATATGGGCATCTCAGTGAGAAACCAAGGAGAAATCTGGGGAAATCTTACATATATTTATATATTTTAAATTTTTCCACTTCACAACAGTTGTCACATCAAGTGAGATTCTGATGGGAAAAATGCTTTGATGTTCAAGCATACATTAAAAATGTTTGCTGGGTGCAAAGGGGATTAAAGCAAGCTGAAATAAAAGTGTTGATTTGGGTATGTTTCGGTTATAGAGTTTAGATTCGTCTCTACATAGCTTTGTAAAGTTAAATACGCAAGTATTATTTTAATTTCAACCAGTATGGGTTAATCTGAGTAGCTGTAAGTTGAACATTTGCGATATGACCCACTTTGTGTCTCAAATGGGAATGTTGTACAAATGACAACAAGCCCACTGCAGAATTAAAGGTAAAAGCCCTATTCTCTTAAAGATAAGTTGTTTTTTTTGTGATCGTGGTTATATTAAATGGATTTTGAATATATTAAAGCAAAAATATCCAATTTAGCTTCATGAAGGGATTTTTTTAAAATGTACTTTTAGACTCATTTTGCAAACATGCACATTGATAATTACATACTGAATACAGCTAATGATACCTCAAAGCATATGGGTGAACAGAGCCTTAAAGATATTTTCTATGCTGAGCATTCTGAATTTATTTGACTTTCCTGTTTGTCTAGAGACACTTTTTGCCGTGCAGTTTGCCACAATGGCGTCAGCTGAAAACACCCCTCCACTTAGCTTGGAGTTGTTCTCTGCTCTCCCTGTTAACTGGGTTTTAGACTTTCTCCTTGGCTTCTCTGACTGCTCAACCTCTTCCCAGATCTGGCCCATATTGCCTGAGGTCAGCCATTGAATACAGTATATGCAGTGTGTGCTGATCCTCCAAATTGCCATGTGTGAAATCCACCCTACTTTCTCCTGAGGGAGAAGTCGTATCACTCAAATTGAAACAGCCTCCAGTATCCTCCCTTTATTCTTTCACTTCAGTATTCTCTGTGGTCGCCGGGGACCATGCAGTTGTGAGGCTTTATAGTGGAAGCCTATTAGACAAATCTGAGAAGAATGCAGCAGAGGTGCCGTGATACCAGGTTGACAGTGTGCTCCACAGTCTCATATAAATATATCAGTCATGCTGGCTTGGAGGTCTCACTGAATTATATTACTTTCTTATTCCTGTATAAATGCAGAGGAGGGCGGGGGGGTTATTGTTCCATATGGCTAAAATTGCATTGGGTTTGAGAGAGAAAGCTTCGTTAGATTTATTAATAACATCTGTCATTTTGTCTCACTCAGTGTTGTGGTAAAGCTATTCGGAAGTCAAATCTGATTAGAATCTATTTCCATGCATGAAGTGGCATCCTATGGCTTATAAGCATGATGTGCTCCATTTGAGCATCTGCACATTATTATATATGAGTTTCAGCCTAAACACCGGTGTCACCTGTGCCTCTCCTCATCTCAACTGTCACAATATTTTCCCGTTTTCCCTTATAATCTCCTTCTGGCGCAGTGCAGCCCAGCCCTCTGTCAAATCAGGGAAAGAGGAAAAGTGGAATAACACAGTGATGTTAAATTGCATTATGGCTATTATAGTGGAGAGGTGTGTCCCCCTGCAGCTGGCAGAGTAACGCAGCGCATGCGCCCGTGGCTCCTAATGAGCCTGCATTCAGGGACCTGTGTGGAAACAAAAGGCTGTGCTTGTCGGCCGTACCAGACCCCTTCGCCCACCCTCGCAGCGCTCCCCCAGCACTGAGCGTGACAGACCAAGAGCAGAGCGCCGGTCCCTTCCTGGTGGCGTGATTAGATTGGGGCCGAAGTCTCCAGCTGGCAGGCCTGTCTGTGACTGGAGGCGGCCGTCCCCAGCGCTTGTCACTAGCTGACACCTCTGACAGGCAGGGGACAGCTTCAGCAGACAGGTTCATTAAATGGCATTTTTTACAGCTGGGCCTCCAAAAATGAGGGCTGGGCTTTGTCAAATCCCCAAGTCTACCGGGGCCCCTGCGTGTTGGTTTAGACCAAAGCTTTGTTGTTATGACAAATTTTTTTGATCTGGGCATTTTGAAATCAGCTTTCAACCCCCCTCTTTAGCTTCTCTTTTGTTGACAGCCAGCCCTTTGGCCTGTACTTTGTCATGGCAGAAAACTGTTAACTTTAGCTAGGTAACAAAAAACAGCCTGTGCTAAGAGACTATACTGACTATTACTTTCTTGCTACAATATTGAGGCTGTTTTCAGGTATTTTTCTTAAGAACATTCAGAATTTAAAATTTCCCTGGGATGTTACTACGCGGCACTTTCACAGCACCTGATATAACGAATGAACAGTCAAAGATCTGCTGTTAAATTGGAAATCATAGATTCATACAGTTCACAGACTACTCAAACTAAGTAACCATTCAGAGTCACAAGGTATCAAACAGCACATTACTTCCTGAGTGGACTAAACTGCTGTGTCCGTTGTGTGATGCACATCTGTGTGCTTTACTCTCTGGCATTTTCATTCAGAAGTCTCCTTTCAGAACATCTGGATTCAGAGTGGGAGCAGGAAGAAGGCTTTCCTGCTGCCTACACAGGAGTCTGCTGGCCCTCAACCGTGTGCCTGCAGCTCCATCCCCACGCCTCCATCTCACTTCCACGGCCCTCTATCCCTCCCAAACTCCACATGCTGCCTCCTCAGGGCCATCCTGTCTCTATGACAACTGTTAGAGTAGGGGGTTGCAAAGGTGTCAGGCAGGGGCATTACTGGTAGAGGAGCACCAGAGCTGCTGTGCTGCACATCCAGCATCTCCACCTAATCCAATTTTAATTGAGCTCCAGAGATTTTGGTTGTGGCAAGGAGGTCGGGCATGAGCTATTCCACGGAGAAATTAAGGCAGCCCAGCTCGTGCTGCACTCTTCCTGCCTGTCACTATTTTAAATGAACATTAGCATCACATATAACCCAGCTCACCATTTTGCTGTGCTTCTCTCCCTCCCCACTCACTCCACCTCAGCCATCCCCCCTCCCCCACACGGGCTCTGGCTGTGTTGTATGGCCTCACTTCCTCACTGCGCTGTTATATCTTTATTCTCACACACACTGTCCTGAACTGTGCTATGTGTGATCATAACCTGAGGAGTTTATGACATTTCTCCGGGGCTCATAGTGTTGGAGAAAAATGTTCAGTGAGATGGAAGAAGGGGAGAAGTAGGTGGGAAATGTGTGAGGGCATCATTCTCACCTGTCAGAACAACTATCCTGATTTTCCGCGTGTGGACCTTTTGTTTCGATACGACTGCATACTCTAATGATTCTTTGTCTTCTCTCCTCGTCTCCAAGCACCCTGATTTTTTTCTTTATTGATTATTTAAATATCGCAGACCCAGTGGGGTGTTTCTTTGAACATTTTCTTTTGTTCTGTTGTTTTTAAACCAACAGAAAAAAGGTGTGAGGGAGAAACTATGGGCTGCTTTGTAAAATGTCTCAAGGCTTGCTTCAATAACACAAAGTGAAAAAAGGAACAAATCGTCTGGTATCAACACTGAACTTTTGATCAACTTTTTTATGTGAATCCCCAGGTTTAAGTTGCATCATACTGCTTAGCTTATTGGAAACAGCCTGCAGATTTAGTTTTTTGGAAAATATTTATCAGACTAAAAAGAATGTAAATTGAATTCAAAGTATTAGTTTTCAGTCCTATCTGGAATGAATACGATACCATTCATTGTCTTACCAACTATGGTCGAGAATCCCATATACAAGACAGCTTTCAAGAAGATATTAAAAACTGCAACATCTTCCATTTTTATTTAACTTTTTTTTTTTATAACAGTGTATGAAACAAATTCTGAATACACATGCCTCTCTCCCGATCTATTTTCCTCTGGTTTATATAATTAGTTAAGACAATCATAATTGAGGACCTGCTTCTACATATATAACCTAGTGTGATAAGCAGTGTTTACTTCAAGGTGAAACATTAGGACATGGATTGCTGCCGATATACCCTGTCACTGTAAAACCTTTTTTTTTTTTATATATATAGCTATAATGACCACTACACACAGTCTTCTCTCTGTCTCTCCTTCTAGGTCCTGGCATACACTGAGGGTTTACATGGGAAGTGGATGTTCAGTGAGATCCGGGCAGTCTTTTCCAGACGCTACCTCCTGCAGAACACTGCCATGGAGGTCTTTATGGCCAACAGAAGTCAGTAAAGTATCCATTAGAAACACTGATGCTTGTTCTTGTTTTTTTGTTTTTTTATCATTGATGCATATGTTTTACTTCTTGAAGCATCCGTCATGTTCAACTTTCCTGACCACGCCACGGTGAAGAAAGTGGTCCACAGTCTCCCTCGGGTTGGAGTGGGCACCAGCTATGGACTTCCTCAAGCCAGGTGGGTCAGAGGATTTTGAGTTAAATTAGCCAAATCTCGATACATTTCTGTGGCATGGGATTTCTATATGGTCTCTGTTACCTCCTCTGTGTTGTGGTGCGGTGCAACTGTTCAGCCAGGCCTGGAGCAGAGTTTATTTGAAGTCCCATTGCTCCACTCATTGTAGTGGATGTGCACTGACCCTGACTGAACTGACCTAATTCTCTGACAGAAAACTCTATACAACAGGACTGCAGCCTGGCCAAAGACCACAGAAGAAAACCTTTAGACCTTCATAGTGCTAACAGGCCATTATATTTACTGCTAGAAAACAAACAGCCCCACATTGAGTGGATATTGAGAGCAGACCCCCTCATTTAAGGACTTTCAATTAACACCTTGCTTCAAGATGATTTACAAGCTAAAAAACTGCAGTAGACAATGTAACTTTTTAGTCTGGCACTTCATCTACACTCTACTTTTCAACATGTTAGCTTTAAAACTGATATAAGAGACAGAAATATTTTAAGCTACAGATATGATTATTTACAGCCCCATTCACGTCATTTCCATTTGACCATAGCTCTATTTACAGTTTATGTTAAGGGATTGCAAAGGCAATCACATTTAAAATATTCATATCCAATCTAACTATCTGACATGTTTTTTTCAGGCGCACCTCCCTTGCAACCCCCCGGCAGCTTCTCAAGTCCTCTAATATGACCCAGCGCTGGCAGAGAAGAGAAATCTCCAACTTTGAGTATCTTATGTTTCTCAACACCATAGCAGGTGAAAATGCAATGCGGTGCACTTGTCTGATTTCTAAAGGGAAAATCTTTGTTTGAAACTTGGAAGAAGCTAAGGATCCAAAAATAATGGATCCTGTTTTTCAAAGCCATCAGTTAAACTAATACATTTGGATTTGTTTTTTTCCTTACCTGGTAAATGCACCGCTGTTGAAAGTTTTAAGTTTTTATCTATTATCCATGTGAATCTTCTCACAGTTAGAGTTTTGTAACTTTTATGGTCGCCTATCAGGATCAATAAACTTTATGTGTCAGTGCTGCTGGAAACACACTCTAAATGGCCCCAGGTATGTCATATTTGTTTAAGTTTCCATGGAAGCCTTAAGCAGTGCTCAACATGGTAAGCGTCACTGTTCATGGGAGTGTGCTGTTTGAAGCAGAGAGCAGCCACAGCAGATTTTTCCAGATAATTAGTGCCTGGCTTTGTGAGAGTGTACATATGAGTGTCTGTGGAGTTGAAAGGTTCTGTTGTCAACTCTCTGATCTGAACTGCAACTAACAGGGAAGGCAAGAGCGACTGCATGCTACTTTGCTCAGAAAGGTGTCATCCACACTCTCGCTGCATATTCATGCATATTTATATTTAGCTTGTGCTGGGGTTCGATACATTATTGTCAGCTAATTAGATGTAAGGCAGACAGAAAAACATGCCCAAAATTCATTAAAAATCCCTGGTAATGACCTGAGCTGCCAGGGATGTCAGAACAGTGTAGAATGGGAGACAGGTGGGGGGTGAAGTGCCGAGAAGAGGCGCGAACGGGAAGTGCTCTTCTAATTAAACACTATTCCACTGTTATTAACATCCTGCCACCTAACTCAGGCCTCAGCAGTAGTTGGTCTAACCACAGCAACATCCAACTCATCCTCCACTGTGTCTGCTGTTTTTTGGGGGGCGGGTGGGTGCCATTAACCTAGATAATTATGCTCCGTAGCTTCCCACAGACCCTAGCTACTATCGAAGTCTGACTAACCCGACAGACACTTTGACTTTCTCAGCTAAATTAATGGTCTCTTGCTAAAGTTTTGCAGAAATATTTATAATGTTTTTGTCCAGCCTGATAACATTCTGACACAAAAACTTTTGATCAGATCTAGCCATTATGACAAGTTGTATTAAGGAAAAAAAGTTCATTATTTAAGAAAGATGATTCATTTCTAGTGCATAGCCTTAAAGTAGAGCTGTGTATATGGCCCTAACACCATCTTGGATCTAAATTCATATTGAATTCAATAGACTACTTAGTTTGACACTATTATACTTTGGTGGATAGGAGAGTTGATACAGAAGAATGTTGTTTTTTAAAATGGGTGAACACAGTTCTAGACAATATATTATAAACAAATACACAATTTTAGAAAATGTGTCCTTTTTTTATTGTAGATGTTACATTTTAACAGATAGTGTTTCTATAAACCTTTTTTTTTTGCCTTATTTCTTAACGGCAGCAGAAGTGAAAACCACAGCAGCTCTCAGTTTCAGAATACACCCGTAGAAATTCTCCTGACTTCACATAGTTTTTCCCATGTATTCTCTATTATGCCTTCTTTCCATCTGAAAATCACATTTCTAGCCCCAGAATATTAAAAAAGGTTTCCTCCAGCAACCCAGTGATTCAGACTTTCAATGACATCACAGACTTTTAGTGTCAGGAATTTATATTTCTAGAATAACATCCAATCCTAATTCCTGAGAGATATTTGTCTTCACAGTAAACTTGGAGACTGAGCAATTGTGACTCCCACATCTATATAAAAACAATACTCAGAGAGCTAGGTCATGAATACAGGAAATATTTGTACAATTTTTGTCATTAGTGTACGTGTTTCTGGGACAGACCTGTAAGGTATTATTGAAAGAACTGCTCTGATGGAGTGCACTGAGTTCAGGGTTTTGTTTATTTTTGGAATTTTGATCCTCAAAAGTAACCAAAACCTCACTTATAACTTGCCCTCCTGTCAACTCCTCTGCACCTTTCCAACCCTTCATCACTCACTCATGTCTGTCTGCTTGGTGTGTCTAGGGAGGACATACAATGACCTGAACCAGTACCCAGTCTTTCCATGGGTTCTCACCAACTATGATACTGAGGATCTGGACTTGACCCTGCCCGGAAACTTCAGAGATCTCTCAAAGGTACAGTAGCCTTTTAGCCAAACTCCTACATATTATTGAGGAAAAGAGGGACAGGAAAGGATCACTTTTATATCATAGTTGGATCGTAAAATGATATGGTATTTGCTGTCAAAAGCAACATGTGCAGTCTAAAGTTATGGAATGCAGACTGTGAAAGTGCAGATTGTAACATCCTGAAATGTACTTAGACTATTTTTGTGTGTCAACATTTGACAGAACTGACAAGTTTGGTTATCTGAAAAAGGCCAAGCCAGTGGTAGAAATAATTAATTATATTAATAAGATTTCTTTTCAGTGGTCTGAATCATCATAATACATTTTGATTCAACAATTACCAAAGCGCTGAATTGTATTTGAAGTTAAGATGTACAAAGTCTGTGTAAACCCATAGACAAGGCAACAGATATTTTGATAGGTGTCAGGATAACATAAAAAAACTAAACCGTAATGAATAATCTCATGAATCAGTCCACAAACAAACAAATGAAACTCCTAAACTGTAGAGTTAATTTAGGTGAAAATTTGTACTATATGCTCATTGTAACGCTTAACATAAACCATATAGGACAACTTCAAAATATTTGTATTGCTTTTGTTTTCTTTCTCAAGTCAGATTTAACCTTTAAAATGATAAGAGTGAGTTATTAACACGAGGTTAAAGGTGTCCTGAAAGTGGCAATTCAGACACTTCGGGCCGCGCTGTTACAAGTAATCCTGGCAATGCTGCCAAATCACAAGAACCCCGACGGAATATCCCTAATGCCTTGCAACCCTGATGGATAAAGTTCAACGTTTTGTCTTTGACTGAAGGGGAAAAGCAGCAGATCTCTCCACCACAAACTGTGGCCTGGTTACTGGTCTACCACCCCCCTTCTCTTTCTCTGTCTCTCCGTCTCTCGCTCCTGCACAGTGCTGTTCACTGACCTGAAAACAGTTGCATTCCTGTCTGAGCGCTCTCACTCACTTTACCGCTGCCTCATTCTGCCTTGTTTCTCTCAAAGCACACACATTCAGACCAAAAGCTCCACTTTGCTGTCTCACTTCCCAACAGTTTGTATCAGTTTTCAGCTCCTCAATACACGTTGTCAAGACGCGTCCTCTGTTTTGTAGTAGGAAAGACAAAGAGCTTGGTTACAACAAAAAAAGACTCATAGGTTGGAGTGGGTAAAGTTTTTCTTGAGCTTATTGCATTTCACCAAACCATGAACTTCTTGCACAAATGGCTAAAGTGTGTTTTGCTGCCATCATTTCATAGATTACTGGCTTTACCTGTCGGGTATCCAGGTGGGCTTGGAAAGCCATAGGCTGTGTATGTATGCTGCAATCGTGTGTGTTGAGGATGGTTGATCAGGAGTTGGACCACATGCAACCCTCTTGCCCCGGGGAGACAGTTATGTATTGTAATGTATTCCAGTGACATCCTCCCATGCTGTTTACAGGGCTGAGCTGCCTTCATTAGCATGAGTTCACAGCCCATGTCTCCTGACAGTTGTCCTTGGAACCCTGGGGCTCTTTCCTCCAAAGTTCACTCCTAGTAAAGCAGGGGGGGATAGGAGCCTCCCTATTTTCCCTCTCAGTTTGGTCTGCCCTTTTGTACATTAATGTATTAATGTCTGAAATCTCTGGAGAAAAAACACTCATATACATATATATATGCACATATGTACATATACATGTACTAGAAATAGTAATGGTTTCATTCCATAGGCCGAGAGACAGTAAATGGGATAGAGGTTCCCACCATAGTATAATGCATTTATTTATTAGACTGAACTTTTGCAGCTATAACATTCAGCTGTCACCCTTTAAGGTTTTTGCAGCCTGAAGCAAGCATTCTGAATGAGAGGGCAAAATGCCACTCGACCAACTTGTCATTAAAATATCATTCAAACAGATTAATTATAAGCAACATTAAAGTGAACTGTCATATGGTTGCCATTAAGGGGCAAGTACTGTAGTTTATTTGTGGTATTCAGAATCATAGAGACACTTTACTTTAAGATTTTTACAATGAAATATCATGAGATTATATGAATTGTTCTTTAACCATACAATGCTGGTAGTACATGCAGTTTTCTTTCCCACAGATCATTCTTGAGACCAGTTTTTTCATTATTTTTTACTTGATGGACAGCATTGTTTAAAAAACTGCTTGTGGTCTAATTTGCTAAGTAATATCCTCCCAAACCAGTACACACCTACACTTATGTGCTGCTTCGACATTCAGTCAGCTGTGAAAAGTGTTGCACTGCTTTGCCTCCAGGCCAAACTTCTGCATATTTGGATGTCAGCTTCATTCATGCAGCGAAATGTTTCGTTAGATTCTAATGATTATTTCTTGATGGAGTGACAAGTCGATGATAGATGGAGGGAGACTAATCTTCCTCATAGTTGTGAAATGATGTGATATTAATTAATTTCATTTCTAAAGAAAACAAAGTGAGCAACTGTGGTTCAACATTTTACTTCCTCATTTACTGACTACAGTTTATGACATGTGACATAGGGATCAGATCACGTTAGGATACAAAATAGTGAAAGAAAGGTGAACTCATTTATGGCAAACTGCTATGTTGCCATTTTACTCAATTACAAAAAAATGCTACTGATGTTTTATAATTTTCTTTTTAATTTTTCTATTAAACTTTTTTTTAATCAACTGTACAGATGCAGAAAAAAATGTAATTGATTATTTTGCTGCTGTACTTGAGTCTGAGCATTCAGCAACTAATACAGTTTTGCTGCAGCAAAGCACCCCTTCTGCTCTTCCCTTTCCATAATGGAGCACCCACTTCTATTCCAGTCAGCCTGCTTGGAAGCACATCTGCTTTATCTTGAGTTAGAGCAACTTGATTGCATTAGACTGGAGCTCCATGCAGCCCTGCTTCTGACAGGGGAAGCAAAACGACTCTGACTTTTCCTGACAGAGCACCATGGCAGCCTACTGTAATGTAATTTCTTTTGAAATATAAAATGCAATATGCATTTCTTTTGGTAATAGCTTAGATGTAACCAAACAAAGGGAGACACTCTGTAGAATCACTCACCAATTGCCACGTTCACTTTCCACAACTTTGGTTTACAACACCAGCAATGATTTTATTGAATCTGAAGCCAGTCTAAGTTTGATCACGCCTTGTTTAGTTTCGTATTTCACTGGGTCAGGTGTTATACAAGAAATAAACTTGGATAGGAGAAAGTGTGGAACTGTCTCATGCTGTTGTTTTGTTGTCTTTTATCAGTGATTAGTGTGACATGCAGCAGGGGGACAAGGGAAGAGGTGATTATTCTTTGTTACACAGAGGTAATCAAAGCCAGACTTAAGGCTTATCAACAGATGGTGAATATCAAATACAATGAAGGCCATCATAACTGCTTATCTTGTCGTAAATAGTTTGTCGTAAATAGATTTGTATATGGCATCCGATACTTAATCAATCACGCATTCTTCTTATGTTTTTGCCCATTCTGTCCTTGTTAATACAAGCGTTTACGTTGTGTAATATTCTATGTGCTCTGCTGAAACGCCAAACTTTTGCCCATCTGTCTGGGGCAACACATCCAGGCAATCGGAAGGCCTTCGGTATTTGTATTGGCTTGGGAGTAGTCTTTTAATTTTATGCTTGAGGGAAGAACAATGTAGGAATCTCATTATGCAAGGATTTCATGTTCCTGCACAGTAGTGCCCTTTCATGGTGAGCATGCAAAGGGAAAAGTTTCCCTCTCCAAGTAACACTTCCATTCCCCATAGATTTTTTCATGTGATTTAACACGCAGCCATCATTCTATGACCACCTTTACTTGTATTACTAGGAGCGGTCAGTTCTTCTGAATTGTATTAGCTTGTTCACAGATGCTGGAAGATGTTACAACTGCAGTCAAAAGCATGATCCAGGTATATGTAAATAAAATATATTGAATACAATGACAAAGCCAATCAATCTTTGAGTTGCCATTGTTCCATTTAATTCAGTCTCAAGGAAAAATCTATCAGAAATAAGGTTAAACTTTAGTATTACTAGTCGATGTCTTCAGGAGACAGGCGTGTCTCCTTATGGCATTGTTATGACACGAGCATGTTAATAGCTGCTGGCAGCTGCATAATGAATTCTCAGGTGTATAGAAATATCTCATTTACTCAGACTCCAGTAAAGGCCTGAAACTCAATAGATGGTTCCTCACCCTCCAACCAGCATCCTAAACACCCTGCAAAGGCAACAAGAGGGTTTCTCAGAGGTAACAAATTTAAATAGTTGAACGGCCAAACCAAATCAATTCCTTGGATATGCTGAATAAGTAACTTAAAGGGACAATGCCCCGGGGTAAGCAGCAGTTGGCCAGTACTGAAGTTGGCTGCAGTAGAGGTTTGGCAGAGCATCAGTGGGGAAGACACTCAGCACCTGGTGACTTCTACCAATCCTTCCTCCTGAACATTATGATGGCCCAAAAATAGAGGAACTGTGTGTGACGTTTAAATGCTTTTAAGCATATATGTAAAAAAATAATAATGTTTTCAGTAGTTTTGAATTTTACAATAAAAAGTAAAGAAGCAATATAGAAACTAAATGGATGGACTATGAGAAGTCGAAAGAATTTTTGACTTCCCAATCTTAATCAAGGGGCTCTGTGGATATCCCCTGTAACATGGCACTTCACTAAAATGTCTGTGCTCATAATAGCTGCACATTTGCTCCCAAAATACCAAAATGTGATATGTGTGTGAGCTCATAAAATCTCTCTAATCACGTTAAATTACAAATTATTTTCTTTATTTTTCATTTATTTATTTTGTACAGCTCTAAACTCCATTGGTCACACTAAAGGCGGTTTTACTGAGTGTGAGACGTCTTGTGGCTTGCACCCCAAACCAGCTGGGCCAAGACGTCACATGCAAGGCTATTATCACCCCATAAATCTATGTGGATCTCAATAAACTTCTTTCAGTCTTTTCAATTGTGCTAACACTGATGTGGGCCGTCATTAAATTTTTAAGGGAGAACCACCCTCCTTTAAAAAAAAAACATTTAGTTTCTAAGTTTAGTTTTAAGTTTACTTAGAGCTTCGGGAATGTACGTTTAGTCACTCGGATATGACTGCCATACTGAGTTTACAAACTGTTTGTATGCCAAGGCTTAATGATGTTGTTTATATGATGATGTGAAAAAAATAGCCAATTCTTAGCCATCAGTCACCTCACGATTTAGACCTGAGGGCTTTTACTCCATTTCTTTTTACTGTTTTACTGCCGGTTTCAGGTAGAAAAGCTGTCATTGATTACATTACCAGTCTCCATTCCCCCTTGTGTTAATGATTCAGAGTCAGTGAGTATATTAATATTGACTGCCAATATGCCTCTGAGGCTCTTATATTGGATCGGGTGATTGAAAACACAGGCAAAACAATTTATTCACCACTAAACAAATTTTTAATGGGAGTAATTTTGTTGCCTTGAAAACACATGAAAATGAAACGGCTGCCAAAGGGCAAAGACTCAGTGATTGTGTCAGTATAATACTGCAGTTATTACCAGGGCTGTGGTTAAATTATGGGCCATGCCATGGTCCTGCCTAACAATAAAATAATTACAAGGATGGGGAAATAATGTAGTAAAACTGTTACACTTTCATATTCAGCGTCTTTATACCCTCCTCATGAGAATTTAGGTGCACACCACTGAATTGGACTGGTCATAGTAACTTCAGTGGGCACTGCACAGAAGGGCTCTGAACACAGACGGGAGTAGCTGTACTGAGCTTGTTTGGCTTTTGGGTGTATTATGTGTAAATCAGGTCAGCTGGGGTTAATCCACATGGATTACCAGCAACATTTTGCAGGAGACTTGCATATCTCCTCCCTCCATCTCCATTGCAACATCCTGGTTACCTATGTCTCTATATTTTTTTCAATTTGAGACAGAACAGGAGCTTTTAGGGTCGAGAAGAATAATGTGGTCTGACAGAGAAATCTCAGAGTAAAGCTCCATGACTGCTGTGAACTCTTCACGTCCTCTCTGCTTGCTTCTCTAAATGCAGCCTCCTTTTGAAATACTCACTTTCTGCAACTTCACACATCAATTATGCCCAGTTTTCTTTTAACTAAGCATACTTAATTTATACTACACTGGTACAAAAAAATAGAGGGATGTTAATTTAGCTGTTCATCTAAAAAATGTTATCAGATTATATATTCTCCCACAAATATTATTATAATTTCATTACAATGAAATGGTATGATATTACAGATTTTCTAGAAATTAAATTAAGTCGGTGTTTCTAAGTGATATAATCATTTTAGAGGAGTTATTTAAATATAGTATAGTTTGCTTGTTTTTTTAAGGGTTGCTATTTGTCAGATTTTTGTAATAATACTATTTGATCCTAAAAATGTTACTTTAGGGAGTTTTTAATTGGGATTTTCTGAGTTTTTGTACGTATGAAAGCCAACGTTGAGATATGTTGTGATTTCCAGATGTATGTGTGCCTTGTGATTGTAAGCGGTGACAATTCTACCAGCCTTACAATTTATTTTATGGGGCTTTGGGATGGAAACGTTAATTTTTAATGAAACAATAATTAGTTTTTTATTTATGTTTTTGTTGGGACTTAAAATTTTACCCCTCTTTTTTTATCTTCACAGCCTATTGGTGCGTTGAATCCAAAACGTGCAGCATTTTACGCCGAAAGCTACGAAACATGGGAGGATGACCAGACTCCACCATGTCATTACAGCTCCCACTACTCCACCGCTGCCAACACACTGCACTGGCTTGTCAGAATAGTCAGTCAAATCACTCCTTTAACCACTGTCTCTATTATTGTTCTCACATTCCCTGAATTAGTCCGGTATATGAATAGGAATGACGTTGCGCAGACAGCTTTTCAATTTTTTGGGTTGATTGTCACTTGTCAGACTTGATGATGCTGTTACTTTTAGGTCTGTCGGCTTCTGCACAGGAAGCAGTTCGACATTTCAATTTGATTGGGCTGAGTTAGACCAATGGCGCTCAGAAAACAGATTTCACAGGCCAGTAAACCAGCATATGTGAACTAAATAAAGAGTGGCTGGGTAATGATTTACAGGGGCTGCTGTGACAGGTTTATGTGTTTCAGGCAACCCAGTGAGCGCTAGAGACATGTCCATCAAGGTTACTGAGCACTGTCCTCATTTACTGTGGAAGAGGAGGAGGAGGCAAATGCACTTCCAGCCTGCTCCCCATAAAACTGCCCCTTACCCTACAGAGCTTCTCTGAGCTGCCGCAAAGATGATTTTGAAGAAGCTCAAAACTGAAAAAGCATCATAGAAAAGTTTTACTGTGTTAGTAGAATCATTAGTGGAGAGGAGCTGATGAACTGAGGCAGCTCCCTTGGCAACAATTAAACTAATCTCAGTGGGTTTGTTCCCTTCAACCAAATATGGTTGCTATCAGAGTCTTAGAAAACCAGATTTCAACTGATAATCATTATAGCTTACAGTACTAAGGAAGACCACTAATTGATTCTCCCTCAGGTTTGGACACAATGAATTAAAATTTAAGCTATGAACATGTGTTTAAATCTAAAAACATCTTGTGGAACAGGCTGATTTTCAACTTGTGTCTTATGAATACTGCTCTCAAAATAGATTTGAAATGATAACAAAAGCAATCTTGAATTTGAAACGGAGCAGCCATTTCTTTACAGACTTTCTGATGTATCTTTTTCTTGTTCTGTAGGAGCCCTTCACCACATTTTTCCTCAGTACCAATAAAAACAAATTTGACCATCCTGATCGCACATTTTCTGCCATCGCCCACTCCTGGAGGAACTGTCAAAGGGATACTTCTGATGTGAAGGTGAGAAAAAAAACCAAAACAAGTAGAACTGATCTTTTTGGATTGTTTCATTCATCAATCTGCCACATTGGACAGGGCTGTTGGAGTGTAATTTTGACAGTGATGATGCATATAAATGTATCATATAAGCATATTTTTAGCTATGCAAAATCCATGAAAAATCTGTCATATAAGCCCATGAAACCTCAAGTATACCCATGAATAAAAATGCCTGTTGGTGATCTGAATGAAAATATAATGACCAATGATACACAGAAATATCCTGCATTAGTTATTTTATTTGATGCTTAAGGAAAACTCTTTCAGAGTTGATCTTGAGCTAAGTGTGCATCAGAGAGAAAAACAAAGCCCTCTCCCTTCAGAGGCGGGGAGCAGTCAGTGAAAATGCTGAACCCTGCTGATTTGCCTCCATTTTGCCCACTGCATAGCACGCAGCAGGGATACGCACTGACCTCAAAGTGTCATATATTTCTAGCACACCCTGCGTCGGATAGTGTTGCCCCAGGCAATTAATAAAGCATTAATGACAAAAGCTATTTAAAATGTAGTCTTTTATGTACAGACAGGGCTTCTACTTGCCAGGATATGGGGGAGAGCAGCCAACAATCTATGTGAAGCAGAGGTAAAATGCTGTGAGCCAGTGAATAGTCAAACACCACCCTGTTAACAAATGCAGTCTACCTTGGAGTACTTGTATGTCTGCATGCATTTGTTTTTACACACACAAGATGACTGTTGATCTATTAAAAGTGGCACTTTACTGGTCTTGACATCACAGAATTGTTAACAGAATTTTACAGTGTATTAGAAGACAGAAAAAAGGTCTTCTCCATAAAGTATAACATCAAAACATAGGTTTTTTTATATGTGCCACAAGAGGAAGGACAAAAACGCCAAACACAGCAACCAGTGGGTAGGGCAGAGGTGAGTCCAGGGTTAAGGTCAGTTTTGACTCAGACCACCAAGCAACCCATTGGTTCTTTGATTTAAAGGCAGCTTGTTTTTACCAGGGTCTCTCTTTCATTAACCCCAGCCTCTTCCTCCAATAATGGTGACAAGTCTCAGGGAGCCTAAAGCCCCTGATGGGAATGACCTCCCAAAAGAGCAAGTCAAAAGGAAACTATCACACATGACTAAGAACCTCACCTCCTCCAAGACCTCATCATAGATGTTAATATGCCTCCATTCCTTACATATATTTGTGGGGTTCATGTGTTAATGTTACAGTGGCCCAGAGGCATTGGCACAGAGAAGCCGTTTTTTTTTTTTTCCGTGGAAGTTTTGGGTAGCATCTACACACACAAACACAAACTGCCACTATGTTTTCTGACTTAATCCGCCAGCACTCGGCTGGTGACAGATCTAGACGAACGTGTCATTAAGGTGACACAATATGAAGCAACGGAGACTTGTGTGATTGACTTGTTAGCCCATTACGATGCTGTTGCAGAATCAATGGCTGCCTTGGGATGGTGGCTTGAAAACGGAGCTGGCAGTTTTAACGGCCGGGTGGTGAGTTACGGCAGGAAGTTTACAGCAGAAATAGAGGGGGAAAGTGTGGCTGTGTGTGTGTGAGAGACGGAAGGAGGAATGGTTTCCTGGCTCCTTTCCCTGTCGTGTGCACAGGGTGAAATGTGACCAACAACAGACCAGTAGTTTTATTGGCCTGTACCATATCATGCTAACTCGCTCTCTCAGAACCTTGTGATTTATAGAAGCCTAAGAGCCCGCAAGTGTCTCATATGCTAAATAAAACTTTATAAAACCACTGATCCTGACAAAACACCTCATTCATGAAACAAAGCTAATAAGAGGAGTTCATATACCGACCGGTGTCTTCTTTTCTACTCTCAGGCAAAGAAAAGACAACTATGTCTGACTTGTCTTGTGTCTGTGTTATCTAATGAGCACTGAATCAAGGATCCACATTCCTGGTGTGCATATGCCTGATTGCTCTAAGGCTTGAATCACTTATTCATTCAAAGCTGTAAAATTGAAAGATTAAGGGATCAAAGTGGGAACTGAGTAACTACAGGCATTTAAATAACTTCCTAAATTATTCCAGTTTTTCAATATATATATATACATACATCTAAGATAGAACAGCTGAGGGTAAATCCTGAAAAAAAAATCTTTGAGGGATTAAAGAAAGGATTTAATGATGTTAGATCTTAATTACTGGAATTATCTCCCAAAGAACAAGAATATTTCATGCTAAGGCATTTATGTTTGGATAAACAAAGCTGTGTGAGACTTAATATTTCTGACTCCTGAAATTCCCTTGTCAATCAAACTGGAGAAAATCATTTATGAATAACCCTTTCTCAAAATGTAAAAAAATATTTGCCCTTTTTTGTTTTTCATAAGGTATAATGTGAGACTTCACATTTTGGGCCCTTTTACCACACTGACTTTCCCTCCTCTCCAAGGTCCTGACCCTATCACAAGAACCCAGAGACCAGGGAGCAACCCCCATTCAGTTCCAGTTTCATTTAACACATCTAACACCTCTGGCTGGAATAACTGGACTAGCACCTCTCACCGCCTTCTCATTGCCTGCTGCTCAGTTTGTTTATGTTACCTTTCCCCCTGAAAACTCACTTCTTCTCAGTGGGACACAGTCTTAGTTTTTTTTTCTTTTTTTCTGTACCTACATGTTCAGTCTCTTTTGCTGTGTTCAGATTTTGGATGATCACAGTATGATGTATAGCATCAGACACTGCCCTTATCAGTTGTAACGGTGATCATCTCTCTTCCTCAGGAACTGATTCCTGAGTTTTACTATCTCCCGGAGATGTTTGTCAACAGCAACGGCTACCATCTGGGAATGAGGGAGGACGGGGTCATGATTTGTGATGTGGACTTGCCGGCCTGGGCAAAGAAACCAGAGGATCTTGTTAGGATAAACAGGATGGTAAGCATCTGGCATGGCGGAAAATCATTTGGCCACCAAAAGTTTTTTACTCATCTTAATAAGTATCTTTTTTAAAAGCAAATATATATGTTGTGTGTGCATGCATAAAACCATCTCTATATCCACAATATTGATATATACTGTATATCCACTACATTTTTTTCAGAAGTGATTATTAACTTTTCATCTTTTTCAATATTTTTCTTACTTTTATCTTTTCTGCTTCCCCGTTGCTGTAAATAAATCAGTTTCCTCTGTCCTCTAACCTTCCCATGCATCTGTGTCTCCTTGTCTTATTCATGAACCATCTAAGAAAGCTCATCGCTCAATACTATGACTGTACCCTCTGACCCCAGTGGTGTCACTGGAAGACGGGGCTGGGAGCGAGTTTGTCCTACAGAGTTACCTTCTGCAGGACGGGGCCTCATCACTTTGGCAGCATGCAGGGCCCTCACATCTGAATGTGTGTCTGTGTGCACATTTAATGCAGACAACCGAGCAACATGTGCTCCAAAACTCTCTGGGAGAAAGATTGCAAAATATACCAGAAACCTTTGTTACTGCACTCATCTACCCTGAAAACAGTTAATATAGAAACTCATCTTCTTCCCACTAAATATGATTAACCTGAGACCAAACAAATAAGCAAAAAAGCTACATGATAAAAAGCCTCTGTATATGCCATTAGATACATTTTGAACTCGTATCTTCTTAACAGACACTGACCTTAAAAAAAAGTCATAGTCTGTAACTTTGAATTTTAGGAAAATCCTTTACCTTATAAAGTATTAAGCTCACACTTGGTACCCAGTTATTCTGCACCGTGTCCGTGTATAGCACACAACATAGGTTTTTTCCTGCCTGGTGCTTTGATTAATTTCCATAAAAATGATCGAAAAGAAACAAATCCTCAATGATATGCCTCACCTTTAATGGGCAAAAGTCTCCTCAATTAAAAAAAAAGAATTGAAAAATACTGGGAAGAAACAAGGTATCTGTTGGTTAAGAGACCCTGGGTTTTGGGGGCTGAGGTAAAAGAAGGCTGTGGGAACACTTTTGACCTTTTCAGCTGGAGTGACAGAGCTGGGTGGGTCTTATGTAGGTGACCTTTCTCCATGCTCTACCTGCATCGCTCTATCACGTTTGTACACCAGCTGAGTTTGGGGGAGGAACCGAAGAAACAAGAATTTTTTAAAAGCATTTCTGTATATTTAAAAGTAAAATCAAGGGTAACCAAAAAAAAGCTTGTAGTAAATAAGTGTGATGCTGCCTTCCATTGTTAGATTCTCAGTCTATTGTTTCAGAGCACTCAGAAATCCTAGTCCTCTGCCTCCATTTGTTGTTTCTTCCCTTTGTTCTCTTTCCTCGCTAGCCCACACTGTTCCTGCCTTTTTTATTTAATCTCTGTCAGTGAATCTCTCTGACTGCCTCCCCCTTTCTCTCACCCTTTTTTTTTCCCTTCCTCCCCCCCCCGACCAATCCTCCCACTTCCCATCTTTGCATGTGCCACTTTCAATTGTCGTGATATGCCCTGTGGCAAACTCTGCGTCTGTGTGCTTGAGCAGGCTTTGTTGGTAATGGCTGTTATGCCTGACGTGAGGGGAGGAGTATAAATTGCTCCTGCAAAGCTTCACCACAGCATGCATGGGAATGATGCTGTACCATACTCTTAACCCCTACTGCATGGTTTTCATATATAATGATTATTTCATATTCTCTATCTTTCATTTGCCACCCCACAAGAAAACCAACCTCTTTTTCACTCTTGAAAGCAATTTACCAAACAATCAGACAATTTAACGGTCAGTTGTTAGCATTCAACCAGTTTCTTTGTCTCCATGCAAAGATAGTATTTAATTGGACGGATAAACATAACAGGAGGGTTTGACCCAAGTTGGATAAAATTGATAGACATTGTTTCTCCAATAATACTGTGTCCACTAAATAGGCTAAGTATGCATGTGAGTTATTGTAGGTCAAGGAGCAGCATCTGCAGATGACCCTGTGATTCTGTTTGCTGCACTGGTCATTGCACAATGCTAATGCCAGCACGCGGCCACGAGGCCAGTTTAACATAACGCAATGCCTGGAACATGACAGCGGTGGAACAGTCAGTACTGAGGCATGATTAGTAAGGCTTTTTTCAGGTTGCCATCACTGCACCTATCACAAATCTGAAACCTATCTCAAAAAGTATAATTGTCTCCAAACCAGCACCAATAACTGCAAAGTGCAAAAAAGTCACCAAACAGTAATATGGACAGACAATTAAGTACACAGAGACGAAGAGGAAATGAAAAAGCCACAAGTAAACTATTTAGTTTAGACAATGCTAAAGTGTTAATCTTTCCTTCTTTTTTTAACAAAATGTTTGCCAAATGGAAACATTTGGTTCAGTATTATGTCTCTTCAAGATGAAATAAAGTAATCATAAACATTGCATAAGCTTTGTAGCTCTAAGCTAAATTTAGGGGGCGTCTTATGCTTAGCTTTATCTGGGAGGATGCCTCCAGTCACAGACTGAAAGTCCGGGGTCTATGCAATTGTGCAACCATATGCAGCCCAGCTGCACATTTCAGTAGCTGGGAGTTTTTTTTTCAGAATATATGCCATTTTAGCATTTATCATTTGGGTTATTTGATGTTTGACGTGGATGTTGTTCAGGTAGGTCATGCGTGTAGGCTGTTTTGCTGTATTTAAGATGAATTTGTTTTGTGTCTTCTGGTCTGGGACGTGTGGGTTGTTGGTGTGCCTCTCACCTCTAATTGCCCTGTACTCCTCTGACAGGCCCTGGAAAGCGAATTTGTGTCGTGTCAGCTGCATCAGTGGATTGACCTTATTTTCGGCTACAAGCAGCGAGGCCCAGAGGCGGTGCGTGCCCTCAACGTCTTTCACTACCTGACGTACGAGGGCTCCGTCAACCTGGACTCTATCTCTGACCCTTTGCTCAGAGAGGTAAAACTCACAGAAACACACAATCACATCGCTATGGCAACTAAGCCTCCTGTTCTCTTATTCACGAGAGGCATTACTTCCTGTCTGTGTTTGTCCTGGCATGTGTTGCTGCTCTTGGAACTCTTCTATCATGCACCTGTCAGTCAATTAATGTGTGATGCAAATGTAACGCATGAGAGAATCCAACAGAAGTGCTGACTCACTGTGTTTGCTTTGAGATTTACATCATTCTGTGGTTACCAGAAATGATTCATGTTTTAGATAATTATTCCGTTGTATCACTCCACATTGTTAGTTTAGCTTCCTACCATTCTTTTTTTTTGTATAAAAAAAAGAAAAATAAAGAATAGGCTTTCTTATTGAATCAAATCAATAACTTAGACTGTTACCGTTGAAAAGTCACCAAGGATCACTCAGCTGAGATGAGGAAGAGAATCCTCTCGTTTTTAACAAATTAATTGAACAACTATTGGCTCAGTGGTACTACTCCACATAGCATAATTGCAAGGGGAAAGGGGGAGCAGCAGCTGGTACGCATTGTGGCACTTTCCAGTGTGAGCTCATCTTTTCCTGCGATAGTCACCATCTGCTGTCTCCAAAACAAGTCATTTATATACTGTCACTTCCAGGAGCGCCTTTATTTATCAAGTGACCACTATGCAAATCACCTGCGGAAGATCTGGTTGATCTAATTAAGAAACCACATTTAGAAAACTTTGGTTTTCATTTCATTTGAATATTTTTTTTAGATGAGTCCCTGATGATTTTGCATCAAACTTTTACATGTTTTATTTAGCCATCTTCCACCCTGACTGTTGTTGCGTAGAGGGAGTTCTGTTTGTGAGTTGCACTTTACAAAGTTTGCTGTTCAGACTCTCCAATTATATCCAGTTGATGTGGTCAGCACTGTGGCATCTGAGTGTGTTTGGGCTGGACAAATAAATAGAATTAGTTAATTGCAATTGATGTTATGTTGATATGATGAGCGCTAATTACGACAAGCTTTCACACCTTCCATTATGTTTATCATTTCTGATAAGAATCCATCAAAAATGATAAACATAATGGAAGGTGTGAAAGCTTGTTGTAATTAGCGCTCATCATATCAACATAACATAAGTTATCCGTTTTTTGCCTTCTGACCCAAAAACTAGCCTTGTATTGTCAAAACTCCAGATTGTGAACGTCTTCATATTTGTTCTGACAGTTCAGTGGTAACTCAACAAATCTTTTCCAAAGTGTTGAATTTGAACAAGCCATTCTGTTACTTGTAAAATCTATGGCAACTTTCCGAAAACTTCAGATGGTAGGAACTTGTTTACTCCTTCACCAGTTACCTGGCTGGGTGAGTCAGTGAGGTGGAGCACGGAAACACGCGTGTGGCTGCCTCACTCAGACTGAAACCTGCTGATTGGCTCTGGGCTATTGATTCATTCTGGGCCCGACAGGTGAGAATGCTGACCTCGCATTAGTCACAAAAGTTAAGGAATTGTAAATGTCAGGAAATTAGAGGTCAGCAGAGATAATTTCTTCTCACGAGTCAGATGAAAATGATGACATCCCCTGACATGGTGCCAGGGCTTTGGTCTGTGGTTGAGGATAAAGTGACAGCTCCGCTGGGCACACTGCCGGAACAGAAGTCCTTCGCAGTGACGCCTCTCGTGACAGCCTTCCCTTATGGAAAAACATGACAGCAACCCCTTGATTCAGACCCCACTGTGTCACTCAGAAGTAAACAGACAAATTATTCATCAGTGGGACTATTCTTGCGCCTGCTGCTGCCCCTCCTGCCCCCTCTGAACAAGCCGGGACAACAGAGCGTGTTGTTGCTCCCTTATGATGGGCTTTGAAAGCACTGACATACTTCAAATTCATCTCACCTTGATATTCTCATGCTGATTAAATGTGTGACCGTGCTGCCTCTATATTACAAGGTATGTATGGGTTTTAATAGGTATTATCTGTGATGATAGCAGCATTTGAGACAATGACTTAGCCACTGTTTGAGAAATTTTTGCTCCTCCATATAGTAGTGCACATGTCAACTCCCAAGATGTCACTCAAAACACACCCTCAGGGCAATTCTTTGTACTTAAAGATTAAAGCCCAGACAGCTTATTTTAAACAAATTTCCATTGGCATGCAAAGAATGGACAGCAGTGTCATCACAGGAGAACATAAAACAATTGCTCTGCGTGGCTCTGTGCCGTTTCTGTTCTGATTTGATCTGTTTTACCGTCTGTTTACATTACATGAAAGCCAACAGTGTTTTAAAGCAATTTGCCGTCTGTAATCTGTGACATCGATCAAAAGGTTCAAAGATTAGTTTCTCATTTGTAGTTGCCACTGTTGATCCCAGGTGTTTTGACTCAGCATGATCCCACGCTGCTTACTGGGTCAACGCGAGGCCATGTCTGCAATCTGGGAGACAGAGCTGTTGCGTTGCTGCGTTGCATGAGTGAACTGGAGGGTGCTGCGGGGGGATCATCCTCCATGGAGCCCCTGTCATCAGTTTGGGAACCAGTAGTTAGAGCGTGAGTGGCAGAAGCCGGTCATCCTGAAGACTTTTTCCAAAATACAAAGTGAACGAAGCCCTTCAGACTAGAAGATGCAGTGTTATATTATTAAGGATGTTTAGTGCAGAACCAGTCGATGTGGTTGGAGGAGAGATCAGTGGCTGTAGCCATGAGTCTAACATATCTGCGGAAAATCTGAGCCTGAAGTAATTTCAACTAATGAATTACCCGTTAAGCACCCCTCAACTCAGACTGAGGTAGAGATAGGTTTTTGACATGCCTCACTGAGGATTAGCATTTAAGCAGCCAAGAGATATTGATGTATTTTGAATTCCTAGTGGAAGATCATGTTCATGGCTAAACCTCCAACAAGTCAAAGCCTTTAATCAAATCATGCAATGAAAAAAATAGATGGAAATCTCTGTATTTTCTGGAAGTAATTGTTTTCTGAAACAACCAAAAGGCTTCATTCTGCAGTCCAGTTTCCTTGGTAATAGATTTGTCTCAAGAAATATGCTGATGTTTTCCACATGGCCCTTTCATTCTTTCTGATCCTTGTATCAGATTTCTTTATTTGAACAGACATTGTGACCCTCACCTCCAACCTAACCTTAAATAGCCATAATGCCGGTTGCTTATTACTTGTGAGACTGTGTTGTAAAGAAATACTGACTAACACTTAATGGTTCCCAAATGTGCTCAGCAACTTTCACTACTATGTGACAGCACTCAACTGCGGAGATGGTCCTTTTTTGGGTGCTCTGAAAGATCTGAAGTGATCTGGGGGTTGGGAGTGACTGTGTGGCTTGCAGGTGGGCTGTCCTAATTCAGTATCACCTCCAAACTTCCCATCCCACGTCTCCCAATGTGGCATGTGCTACCCAATGGGTCTTTTTGATAGTAAGTGGTGTGTACAGGCCAAAGAAAATGAGGGCTTGTCGCGGAGGCAGTCAGAAAGGCAGGCGAAAGGCTGAGCGATGTTGGTTCCATTGTGCACAGTGGCATTGACGGACGTCTACAAGCTCCCCTCTGATGGTGGAAGTGGCTCCAGTCACATCAATCACTTCCACTGTGGAGTGCCTCGCTTTCAGTCAAGATCAGCAGCCCTTACTGGTTGTTATGTCCCCCTTTTATTGCGGACAAAAGCTTACTTTTGTCAGTTTTAAATAGATGTATTCTTTTCAAAGATAGCAAAAGGTCTGATTCTCCTTGTTTAGTTTTTTCTCTGGTGCTTATCATGAGATTTTCAAGGCTGATTCTGTTTTTCTGCAATACTAGTAAGCTTCTAGACTTCCGGTTTGTACCGCATAAATCATCCTTCAGTGAAATACTGTACCTTTAATGCCTTGCGTTTGTGATGTTATGCCTCTATATATGTGTATACGCAGACACACACATCCTTCTTTTTCTCCTTTGTTTCAAACACAATAACATCTAAAAGCACGTTGGCCTGCTGCAGTTCTCGCTGGATGTCACTCCAGGTTAACATTTGTGCAGTTGGGGCCCCTGCTCCTGGAAATGGGAATGGTTAACTGAAGCATGTTAATAGGAAAAGGCTTGTCTCTTCCATACTAACACTTGGATGACTCTGCAGGCTGAGGGGGGAAGGGGGAGCACCCAGGCGGATTGGGAGTACACCCCTTTCCCTTTACCTCCCCCTTCCTCAGAGGCATGGCTGAGTTAGGATTTGCTTGCATTGTCAAGTAACGCATTGACCCATCACTTTGATGCATATTGATTGTGACAGCCACTCTCTCTCTCTCTCTCTCTCTCT